AAATATTTTAAAAATATATTTTGACTACTTTATAAATGTGATTATTTTAGAATGCCTACATAAGTGTAGGTTTATATACCCCATTTCCCATAATTGACCACAGAGTATTAAATGAGAACATTTGGCGCCTGAAGCGTCTTTAAAAAAAATTTCTGTCGTTTCCTTAAACGTCTGCCGAACAAAGCCTTCCGCCTACGGCAGAAGTTGCCAGCTTGACTGCCATAGCTCTATTTTAAAGACAATTGCATTGTGGGCCTTAACCCGTCAGCTGCTCAAATATTGATTTATTGAGTTGCTCACATGTATGTGTCCTGGTGTTCTTGCCACAATCGTTGCTGATGCGCTTTACACTTTTGGCCACAATGTGTAGGCCAAGATGCGAAAATTGCAAAGGAGCAATGAAGTGTATGCAGTGGCATATTTTAAATTACTTTAGATTAACCTCAAGTTCTTTGCCACTTTGACATAGCAAACTTAAAGTTTAATGTCCTTTATAGGCTTAGGAGCTTAGACCGTGGTCGCAACTGCAGCCGAAAGGTAACTGTCAGACTAGTATAATAGAGATTAAGCTACTGACAGCACAAAAGCCAAAACTTATAACGTATAAGCGTAATAGCAAATTCAGTATTTGATAATAGTTTAAAGCTTCAGTTCTGTGTCTTTTGTTGGTTACTTCTAAGTACTTCTTGAACTAGTTATTATATCAAATTCTTTGATCAACTTATTTTGTAGCTATAGTAAATCAGAATTTATATTTATTTTCAATTTATATTATTATTGAAGATTCAGAAAAGTTAAATAATGTATACCTTCTCCTATCCGTTAATCACAAAATAAAAGATTATACCTTATAGTTTTCAAGACATGGTCAAAGTCAAAGTTTGGTAAGTATTACTATAAATATTTATAAATATTACTTAGCATTAAATATTACTTAATTTAAATTCAATCGTATTCTTAGCCAACTCTATCACTCATCGGTTCTCACTTTTATGCCCATTTAATCCAATCCAAGGCTGAACTTGCTGCATAATGCAATTTGAAGCAGACACAGGCCATTTGGACCACGTGCCACGAATTCAAAAGCCGACCTACCCGATTTACAGGCACCATCGAACCAAAAACCACCCAAACAATATTAACACCGAACACTGATCAGCCCATGGAGGAGCATATACATAATCTGTGCTTTCCAGCACACTCTTCGCCTGCCTGCTTTTCATAGTCGTCTGCTGGCCGTAGTCGTCTGCACAATTGTCACAAGCAGTGCGACTACAAATTGTGAATAGCAGCGCAGAAAAAGAAAACAGAATAAGTTTTATTGTCGCACAAGTGCAGCAAAGAGAACTTTAATTTGAAACCACTAAGATGGGAATTTTCTTTTATGCGGCACAGCGCACTTAAAGGATTTCAACTGGTTATATGGTTTGGAGAGCCATACGAGTGTATATGCTCTTAATGCAGTTAAGCAGGTTGTAAATGCCAAAGAGAAACAATTGACAGCTTTTAATGAGCGGCACAAACACACATAACGAGCACTGTAGCAGCAAATAGCCAGCAGCTAGCAGCCAGCAGCCAGCAGCTAAAAGGCAGCAGAAAGCAAATTGAAATTGCAAAGTGCGCGAATTCGACTTTTATTGCGCTGCACAGGACACCGAGTATAATGGCAGAAATAAGCTGGTAGCTTACTCACAGAAATTGATGGGCTACAGACTTTTCCGCTTAATGGCAAAATGTGAATGAATGCGAAATATCGCAGCTATTGTATGGCTAAAGCTAACACTTTTAATGGCATCGCAGAGTATTCTGCAGTTACTGCTAGAATTTTTAATTAATAGTTTTACTATGTTTAGAGTAGTAAAACTTTGTTCGAGTCACTAAACTATTTAATTAAATTAATTGTCACTTCTTATGTAAACTACGACTTTAATGTTAACGCTAAGCTCGCCAAGTGCATTCTATCTTTCTAACATTTTTCTGCAATATTTAAATGATAATTATGTTTGGATTTTGAACTGTACATAAATGTATTTTAGGTATTAAACAATTATTATAGTATTAGTTTATTTAAGAAGAAACAAAGTTAAAGAAGGCACTAAAGTTTTCATTTATTTCTAATAATTATATATTATAATGCTTTTAGCTAGTATCTTTATTACAAAAAAATATATTTGAATGGATTATTGCTTATCTCGTTTAAATTTTCCTCAACTTTCTATTATTAGAATAAAATACGAATCCTTCAAATTAGTTTATTGCTTATTCTTTTTAACTTTTCGCCTACTTTAAGGCCAAGCTTCTGTATACTGATGCATTCATAGTCATTACGCATCTATAAGCAACACTTTATGTATCGAACAAACTGATAAGGGAAGCAAACAAATTGTTTGCAACCATTTTTGTGTTTCTCCCCCACAAGTTAAACTCAATTGCAAAATTTTTTGCCAAAGTTGGGCAGTGAATTGTACAAAAACCAAAGGAAGCTGACAACAGTGCATAATTCCATAAAAGGCACACACAAATTGAAACACAAACAGAACAGCCCTCAACCCGCAGCCCCTTGACCCTGATCCCTGCTCCATTCTGTGATAAGGCCCAGACTTGGGACACAATGCAGTAGTGGCTGCAAATTTGCGAAAAGAAAAGTTTTTCGAGCGTCGAGAGTTTCTATTAAAAATATTGTGAACTCAATACAAGCAGCAGTAGCGCATAGCAGCAGCAGCAAAATAGGCTAACTGGCTTGAGGCTGGCATGAGTTGATTGTCGTAAACAAAGTTTTCATAAAGAATTTTTGCAATGCCACCAAAAGCTGCCAGCTGACAAATTGGCATTCTCGAAAGCTGCGGTCTGACTTCCTTTGCTTTTGTGTAGTTATTTTTGTTTTTACTGTTTCTTGCTGCAAAACTAAAATCGCAGTATATTTCAACATGGCATAAAATATAAATTGACAATTTTGCTGAACGTTTTTTTGCCATCTTACAAATACGCGTACATATACTAAAAACCACAGCCAAAGATACTCATATTTCCTATTCAAGCCCATGTATAGCTCTTACTCTCAGTTTGCCTTCTGCAATTTGAGGAATGCAAGCAGCGGTTTCTACTCAGATGCCTTGTGGGCAACCAGTAACGATGAATTCTGCGGTCTGCCCCATGCCATGCCCAACGTGTTTCGTTGTTGGGTTCCGGTTCCCATTCCCATTCTCATTCTGGTTCTGGCTTTACCGTTGAGCCACAAATTAAAATGTGGCCAAATTTTCACAAAATTTATTGTTTGTCGCGGCTTGGCAAAAGGACAACGACGACGGCTCAACACAGGCAAATAAGTTAAATGGCTTCTCTGGCCAAATATTTAAACGGCAAAATAAAAAAAGCCAAGAACATATTCAAATGTCGACTTTTACATACACTTTTCTATGAATAAATGGCTTCTGTGTCTTAAAGGGAGCATGTTCAATTAACCTTAAATACTAGTACTTCTATGAGAAACCTTATATCCGTGAAATGAGCATAAATCTTTATTGATTCTATTATTAGTATCCTTACTACTAACAAACAAAATTATCTACCCAGGAATTTCTTTACAAGAGTTAAGTAAATATTAAGAATAAACAAAAAAAAATAGAATTTTGATTTTATAATAAGTATAACTGGTTGTAAAACGTTAATGGATACGAAACTAAAATCAACCCGGCAATTTTAGTACCCATACTTATGATTTGTATGCTCGGTTACATCAAACATAATTTTAAATAACTGCTAACATAATATAATAAAATTGATTTTTTACTACCAATGTGATATCCAATAATACGACCAGCTTATGACCTAGACATAATTTGGCATGTTAAATAGAAAATGTTGTATAACTTTAAAAAGTAGTTCGTTGTTTCTCAACTTCATTGCGTAAGCAGAACAATCTTTGTAAGGAAAGAATTGAAAGAAGAAACAAATATATCTACGAGTAATGCTCTGCAATGTCGACAGCAATAAAACGGATAATGCGACAAGTTGAGAACTAGCCAAGGCGACCGAATGACCGCCAGTTTTCTGCGGATCCGCAAAAGTTTGCTTCTGACAAAAATAAAGCAAAAAGTTTGGTGCATTTAATGAGTTTATTGAACCAAATTGCACCAGTTGCGAGCTTGCGTCATTTGCCAGTTTTCAGTGAAGTTGGCAACCATTTTCTGGCATTGTCCAATGGCCCAATGGCATGTCCTGTTTATGTGTTGAATAGAATTCTTACAACAACTACCGTTGCAAGCTGCAAGCGACTGTGATTCTTGGCAGTGGGACAACCGGAAATATTCTTATCTTCCGGCAAAGAGGAAAAATTAAATTTTATTTATGACAAAGGATTTTACGATTTGCCCTAATAGTTAATTCAGCCCTTGCTTCGGCAGCATCAGTTCCAGATTCAGCTTTAGCTTTAGTTTCAGCTTAAGCTCACTGTAATTCTTTCTTTGCCTTGGACTGTCTTAGCCAACACTGCTGCCAAGGAATGGCTACACCATTGCGGTAGACAGAAGTCATTTAAGGAGAATTTATGGGATTTTAACTGGCATTTAAACAGTCGCAAAAAGAGAAGAAGCACAGCGAGAGCCACAGTCTGAGCCAGAGATGAGAACGCCAAAAGGGGGGGCGAGAAGGCTAACTTGTCGGCCAAGATTAGCGACGAGTGTGCAACAAAATGTTATGGACAGCCACGGATAATGGATGCTGTTTAAAGAAAAATGAATTGTAATTACATTTTGTAAAATGAAGTAATCCATGCACTAACTGTTGGAGTTAATGCGCACTTTAGTTAGTTGTTTGCAAAAAGGCAACTCGAACCTGCTGTGTAATTTACTAAATCTACTTATTGAGATTTTACTCACAACTCACAGAAAAAGTTTTGGTGGCAATTAATTTTAAGATTTTAATTTCCAAGTTGAATATGAACCGAAGCAAACTATTTAAAACAATTCATGAGAAATCATAATTAGGTTGCATTTACATACCTTTTAAGCACAACATGTTTACAATTAAGTAAATCTGAAAATAGAGAAATTTAAATTGGTTAGTTTAACTATTTATATTGGGGCCACACGATAATTTACAAAATAGCACAATTTAATGGAAAACGAAAATGTTTACTAAGCTATTATTGAGTAAATTTATTTATAATGTATTTGTCTAATGTAATCCACTCCATATTAATTTCATTTTGTTTGCAGTATTTTAACATTTTTAGTTATTTTAAGTCACAAAGACAGAACTAAAATGAAAAGCTGTGACTTTTATGAAATTAAATGACGATCTGACTAACTGATTAAGCAAATTTGCAATATACAGGCTTTGAATTACAAATCACTGCACTCCACAAATTGTCAGCCAGAGGGCAATGCAAAAACTCAACTTGGGACTCAATTACAGCACCTTCAAAATGCAAACCCCTTGCTGAGAGCCCGTTTTTGCAACTTTCTGCAGTAAGTTCAACTTTTTTCCAGTTCACTCGTCTGAGTCTCGACACAAACTGCCTATTGCACTGGTGCGACCGATGTGTTGCTTTTCGCATATTTTCATAATTTCTCAAAACCTTGCCTGAAGTTCATTTAACTCTGCAAACGGCACAAACACACAATTTGATTCTGAAGTGTTTTTTATTTTTGTTTTCTAACCATTTCACATCGATAGCTGGAAACTTTTTCCAAACTGCACTTGTGAGTTTTGCCTTCGTACATCGTTGTATGTATTTGGTGTTTGTTGTTGCTTATTACAGAGTTCTGCAACAGTAATCGAAAAGTTAATTCTCCGAAAAACAAGGTAATTAGTGTAGCAGTGCCCATAAAAAGCAAACGAATGTGCAAAAATAACGAGAAAAGTTTAAAAAGTGCACAGCGACGAGAGCAAGAAAGAGGCAACGGCAACAGCAAAGAGCAACAAGAAAACTGTGTGGCATTGTTCGTTGCAGCTCTAGCAGCAAGCGCGTTGTAATAAATGGCCATGCCGGTAGAACTTTACAACAACCAAAAAACCAACTACAAGAACAACGGCAACAACAATGGGTAAGCGACAATGCCACAGGTAGGAAAGTACTTGCTACGGCATCAGAAAGAGCCAAAAAAATAAAAATAAATAAATAAACAATAAAAATAAAAACCAGCACTCGAATCTAAACGAAGTGCCGAATGCAAGGTTGCCAGGTGAGTTGTAGAGCTGCTTACGCAACTGTGTTAGTTAAATATGTATAACATTTATGTATGACTGAATTGTTATTAGCGAGATTATTATTAAATCTGGTTTTAAGACTGTTAGTGACGAAGTATCTAAAATCAGAATTTCAGATTTGTAAATACGAAATCGAAAGTCGAAAAATCATTGATATGAGAATATCAACGCCCTTAATCTTAATCTCTTTGAATTCAATGAACTATTAGAAATCTCTTCATCGTTAAGAACATTGTTATGGCATTCTACATTAAAGTCTTTCTTCAGTTTACTTAAAAAGTCATAAGTGCAAATCTCTTATAAAAAATTACAGTTGGATTAGGCCGAAACAATCAAGAAATTTACACTTCATTTTAAATGTGCGGTGTTTTTGGTCGCTTGTAAAGTTTATTATGGCTTTAGTAATGCTTAATATATAAAAATCCAAATCCACAATGATCTGAAATAGGAGTGCAAGATGATAGCACAGTATTTTAGTCGACAACATTTAATTCATACATTCTAAAGGCCAAAGTTCAAAGATATTGTCATAACGCCGATTGAACAGATTTTCAAATAATATTTTTTTAAGATTTGATTTAACATTGCCAATTAATGTTGTACGTTGTTGTACGAATACGAATTTTCATTCCCTACAACTTTTACTGCATAGAGGAAAGCGAACGCATACCTAACGCTTCGAGCACATGCTCGAGCCCTCAATTAATTAATAAACAAAACTTTTAGTGACTCAAGTAGCGTAAATAACTTTGCCGACTGTCATTTGTTACGCCAGCAGCTTGAGACTTTTGAGATCAGCTTGTTCCTAACCGTAAATAAAACGCCCTACATATGTACAAATATATGAACATGTATGGCGCAAAAAAAACCCTTTCTCTAACCATCTCTCACTCTCTCTGTCTCTCGTCATTGTTCGCTGTCTCTGTCTTTCGCTCTGATTTGCTTGTGTCTAATGACAGCATAAAGTTTTGCCACCACATCAATCAAAAGTTTTTCATCAACGTCATCAGAGTTATCAACATTGCCTGCAGGCGGCAAAACTACAACAACAACCAGGAATATATCAACGCCTTGTCGTCTCCACGAGCTACATACACATTCTGGTCATGTTGATGGTGGAAAACAAGAACCACAATAACAATTTCGACAACAACAACAAAACAGCTGTAGCAGAAAAATCATGTGTGTCACTTGGTGTGTGCACGCCTCGTATATGTAATGCGACATTGTCCAGCGTGAAGCGACACATAATCAACAACAGCCGAGACGCTCTGAGCTAGCTAAATGTCTGCATAATTTATTATAATAGTGCTGACCGTGTGGACTGTAAGATAAACAAAAATGTTTGCACCTTCTGCAAGCAAAGAAAAATGGCATCATAAAATTTCCAAAAAGAAACTAAATAACAACAAGCACTTCAACGCTTCAAAACATCATAAACTGAATTGCTGCTCTTGGTCAACTAAATAACTTCAATAAAATTCCGCAAAAATCTTTGCGTATACGTAATATTGATAAACCAGCCGGACTTCATCTTCATCATCAGACTAACATAATCAGCTTAAGTAGGACATAGCACAGCAGGCAACAGCAACCTTCTTTCTTGGGACATCTTCATCTTTGAAATGCGTTTAATTATGTCCAAGCTGCATAGTGGAATTTTTTTATTTTTATTTTTTTTTTATTTTTTATTTTTTTTTTTTTCCACATCCCTTCATTTGCCTTAGGGCAGACATTTGACATCTCGCAACGAGATACGGAATGCGATTAGGAGGACGGAGAAGAGCAGAGAGAAAATAGAAAGTTGAGAAAATGTCACCTTCGTGCTTACGTAGCTTATGTTGTATACCTTGTGCCAGCGCACTTTACATTTGTTTCATTCTGTGCGATGTTAGTCACATTTAGCCTGGCCGAAAGAGCAGCGCTTGTGCATAATCGTGATACTGTTAGCTATGCTTTAGCTTACGCCGCCTCCTACCATCCACCCACCATACTTCCTGTCTACTGTCACTGCGAATTCGTGTGCTGAGTTTGAGTATGATGCTTGGCTAAGTAAATAAGCTACCAATTACTAAAGTGATTTTCTGTAAAGCTCCAGTTGTATTTGTTGTTGCTTGTCTGGACAGAACATTTGACATTCACTAGACGAATGTCATGCGCTAATACATTCACTTGATGGTTATCATACATACATATATGGTCCATAAGGCTTACAGATTAAAAATGGAAATAATATGACTGTTGACTAATGAGCGATTCCATGAATGCCATATAAAAAGGTGCTCTTAGGGACAGTTGTTAAGATTAGCGGACACTCACTCAATGCTTACTTTACTTCAATAACCTATTGAATTACAAAATAAAAGAAAGAGAAGAAAAAACGTCCCAATTAAGTTACGGCTTCCATATAAAAATGCGGGCTTAATGATGCGCATCATACCATCGTCGTGATTATCTAGTGCCCTACTTCAATCAGGCAAAAAATTAGAGGAAAAAGAGAAAAAAAAAAAAGAGAAACTATTTCCGTCATTACAAATACCACACATTTACATCGCAATCATAGTCATACATGTGTATGTAAGTATGAAGCCAAAAAAGCTATAATTACTCGTCTCTCAAATAATTAAAACAAAGAAAAAAGACGCATGTTTGAGATAATCGAGGGTGCTAGACTAGAAAATAATCTAGTGGAAAGAGCCCTAAAGAGGATCAGCCTAAAGTTATGACAATTTTGCTTATCTTTAAAAGTTAATTTTACGCCAAAAAAAACAGAATGATATAAAAATATCAATAATCAAAAGAAAAAAGAACATAAAGCATTCGGCTGATCGGTGCAAGATGAGAGATTTTAATTTTATGGGGAGACATCTTTTTTATCTTGTGCATAAATTTACAATGTTTCTCATACCCCACTTTTGACTTATTGCGTGAATATACAGGGTACAAAAATATTGACACACAGTTCACCAAATTCAATTGGGCTATTTAAGCACAAAGCACAAGCGCTGCCCATCTTATTAGCATTTTGGATTTAATTTCGTCAAAGTGGAGAAGTCAACAGCAAAGGTCGACAGGCGACAACGTACCCCTTAAATATTCACCTATGCTATGAGTGGGTAGCGGTATTGGAGAATGTCAGCACCCACGTGTGACCCACGTTTGTCAAAGCCATGCGCACTCGACACATGTAGAACGGAATGCTAATGACATTTGCTATCTTCCTATCAGTCTGTCCGTCCGTGTTGTCTTTGGCAAAGTCAAAGGGTTCGCCATACGGTTGGTGAGCATCAGTAGGTTCATTGCTTTTTCGGTTAGTTAACCGTACTCGACACGTTCCGCCTGGCTGGGTCACTATGCGAGTTGTTGCCGTCTGTGCGGCGCTTCAGTCTGTAATTAAACTTCTTTTTTTAATCTGAGTGTTTGGCAAAGGTGAAGGCGAAGATTTGTATCTGCGAGCAGGCATGTTCTCAATGTACATATATATATATACATATACATCTGTCTACCTACTGTTGGCTGGTTAGCTGGAAATTAATGAGTGTCGTCCGTTGCCTAAAGCCAGTTCATTCATTCATCCAGCTTGCCATTCACTGTTTATACTTAAGTCCCAATTAGTCCTAACGTTAGTTTACAGACCCAGTTTCGTGACCCACCACCTAAACTTAATTTGAATTTAATTGGCAACTCTAAGCTACCTACTAATTGATGAGCAAATGCCGCTTAAGTGTCTACTTCTACACACATTTATTAAGTAAGCAATCTATTTTGTTCGCATTCAAAACAATAAACAAAGAAATGCTCGAAATGTACTTGTATTGG